ATCGCCCCAGAAGTCTCTGAGTCAAGAGAAGCATTTCCTCACCGCCACCCCCATTGTAATGCTGCCCTCTGCTGGACATTAGGAAATTCACAGGAAAAGACTGGTTCGATTTAGGGATTTGAGTTAAGATTGTTTTTAAAAAGGATTTTCTGTAAAAAGTGAATTTTTTATTTTATCATAAGAAAGTTATTACATATTTTATGCTTTTACAATAATGTAAAAGCAGAAGTTATGTAGCTGCATTGCTAATGAGTATGAAGTGATGTGACCTTTAAGGGAAATGAAATTGTAAAACTTCACAAGAAGAATCACTTTTAAAGGGTACAATCCATTTTCTGAAAACCCAGATGCAAGAAATAAATTTTAAAAAGTAAAGTACTAGTGACTACTTGAAGAAATGACCATTTACACAATAATGACTCTACAGCCATTTCATCAGAAAACTTCTGAGAATAAAATCAGTGTCTGATTATTTTTCTAACTTCTAGCATGTAGCCCAGTGTCTTATTTATAAGCATACACACACACACACACACACACACACACACCTGTTTAACAAATGGGAAAGTTAAGCTTAAAAACAAAAGAGTAAAAATACTTATTTTTGAAGTTTTTTTTTTTTCAGTTGTCCATAAATATCCAAGAGCAGGTTGATGGCTAAAGAGACAGTAGACAGGAATGAAAGCAGATTTTTTTTGAAGCTCCTCTGGCATCTTAGAAAAGACATAAGCCAGGACCTCCCCGGTGGCCTAGGGGTCAAGTCTCAGCGCTATTGTTGCTATGCCTGAGTTCGATCCCTGGCCAGGGACTAACCCACATATGGTGCAGCAGATCTCTCCTGTCTCACCTGCTGCTCCCCTCAGCAGTGTATTTCAGTAGATCCACCTGCTCTGCTCCCCACTCTGTCTCTGGTGAATCCTCTTACCCCCCGTACCTCTGGCCTATGCAAAAATTAAAAAAGGAAAAAAAAAAGAATGTATAAAAAAATCATATGCTAAAGAAAAAAAGAAAAGACATAAGCCTCACTATCAATACACAGTGGTTCTTAATAGGGGTACACATCAATCATCTGAAAATTGAAAATGCAGATTCCCTGGTCCCATCCAAGGAGAGCCTACTTTGGTTGGACTGGGCTATGGTATGGGCATTGAAATTTTAGGAGAATTCCTCAAGTGGTTCTTCTACTTACATCCTGTTAGAACACCCTAAATTAAATTAAAAAAGCAGGATACTAAGTGGAATTTATATTTCAGCTTTAAGTCAATCAAACATTTGACTGCATGTGGACAGGAACAAGGAAGAGGGCCCTATATCTGGGTGACTTGGAAATAGCCTCCTTTTTGCAAGACACCTTCTAAAATTAGGACCATATTTGAGGAGTCTGGGACTTCAAGAATATAAATAATATGTGGAATGTTTTTAATATAATATTTTAAAAAATGAGTTGAGTGGTGTTTTCTAGCTGTTAATTTTGCCAATATCAATGTAGAAATTAGTCTTCTGCAGCTGCAGAGGCAACTGAATGCTCAGCTTTCTCAAATGTGGCTTGATTCCTCTTCGAGTCATAAAGTTGCCTAACTGCCCCTGATACAGATTTACCCTCTCCCTCAACCGTGAAGCCAGAAACAACCCAACAACCTTGGACCATTTGTTGAGGGAGGCAGGCAGTGTGGTCAGAAGAGCCCAGCTCTGGAGACTTATAAGAGACTTGATGCCTGGTTTTGACTTGCCACTAACCTACTGAGTGATCTTGGTGAATTACTTTGTATCTGCAGATTAAAGTGCGAGGTCAGTGATCCAAACTTAATCAGGAGTCAGGTAATATCAATTGAGTGAAATAGGCCAAAGGGGAATAGTGAGGACTGTGGAAAGTTGAGAGCTCTTGCCTTTGTAAAGGGAGTAGCCACAACTCAGTTCCTACAGATGGCTCCACTAGGGTGACTGAGGACAGCTGTGCAAGTTGTGCACTGCACACACACACATTACTTCAGAGGACATCACTCACATCTTAGATACAGATATTTATCAATCACAGTTTCTGGGAAAATGTCTGTAGTAGGTTTTGAGGGAAGGATACTTCCTACTTTGCACAAAGGTGCCGTATGGGCTGTCAGAAGTTCTGGGACTGCAGGTCTAATGTCAGATACCCATTTTTATTTCCTGGAGAATCTCGAAATGGGATTTTTATTGTTAAATTCCCCTACCTTAAAAATTAACTGGAAACTAATTACAAAACATTTTTGACAATGTGTGAGCTAAGATACACTTGGGTGGTGTAAGGGCAGGACTGGATACAGTGCAGGTTTTCTGATCCCATGCAGATCGGGTAAAGGAGGAGTCAGAGTCCTCAGTAGTTTTGCAGGTTTTTTATTTGGGGTTCACCAGGCATATGGCAGGCAGGGGTGCTGGCTGGGGGGCTGGGAGGCTGGCAGGCCTCCCAGCCCCCAGCAAGTCTTCACTCTATCTGGGCTCTCTAGCGTTCGTTCTGCTGCTTCTCGGCTTCTCTTTCGGTTCTGCTGCTGCTGGCTGGGGCTGCTGCTGCTGCTGCTGCTGGTGCTGCTGGCGTCCCCCCCGTGACGCCGCCCTTAAAAAGCACAGTCTTAGCTCAGCTGAATCCCATCTACCTATGCCCACACCCTACTCCAGGTGCCCGCCATCAGGCATGCATTCAGGACAAGGATCCATCATCTATCCTGATGGCGGAAGGGCAGAAAAGCCTGATATTTTCTTTACCCTACAGGTGGGGAGGCAGATTCAAGTCAGGAGTTGGAGATCTCTCACCCAGATGAATGCTAAATTCCTGACATCTCAGAAACCTTCCCTTCTATGCAGTGGATGTGTACTCCGATAAATTATGTGGACGTGATATGGATTATTTGGTTATAATAAGGATTATATAGATATGAAATGCAAATGTGCATTTTTTGAATATGGTATGTACAAGTCTTCCCTACCTATCTTGTGGCTAACTTCAATTCCTGTAAATTAATATAAATGCTATTTCTCCAGGCTTCAACTCAAATTATGTTCTCCTTGCACTTTCTTAGAAAAAACGGGCCCAAGTTGGCATCGTTCGTGTTGGGCTTCCAGACAGACTTCACACCTTTGGCAGTTTGAGCTTTTCCCAAGGGTAGTCCTAAGCCAATCGGGACTGAGGTCATCTGCCTGTAAGACCCCCTGCCTTCATCTGAGGGAAAGTAGCTTAACCTGAAATCATCTTTTCCTTTGCTCAATGTCTTGTCGCACCCTCTTTCTATCTACAACACTCTCAATTTGTGTGACCCCTTGCAGTATCTAGAAAGGATGCTGCCTGATTCATGGATCATTTAATAAAGTCAATTAGATCTCTCAATCTGTGAATTTTATTCTTTGATACTTTTCCTTGAGTGAACGTACCAAGTTTACGTAGTAAGGATTCACCTGTGTAAATGTTGCTTACTGATGGAGAGTGTATCTTGGAGATGTGCCTGGTGCACATCATGTATCTGGAGGGGAGCCAAAATCTGCACCCCAATTTAAATGTCTTTTCAACAAGAGGCTTGTTTTATGGGAGGGGCTATGAAAGTTAGGTGGAAGTTACTTTTGATTTTTATCTGAAAGATTCTCTTTGTAAGGGCCTCTCTCAGGAAAACCTAGTCTCCTTATGTCTTTCCAGTGGAGAAGGCAGAACTTATGTCTGCATACTTTGCTTTGCTGTACCTTTCCCAGTAAATGCTCTAACTGAATTTTCCCTTCTTCACCCCAGTCTCCCTTGTCTTAGCTAAGTTATTGAAGATGGCATCTGAGGCCACACAGGTGAGTCACTCAGTCATGCTGGGTCCCCTCTAGAATACAAAAGGTCTACATGTTATTAAACTTCTTTTTAACTTCTTTCTCTTATCAATCTTTCTGATGCTTGTCTGACTATTTGTCAACATCAGAGAACCCAGAGGGATACGGGATGATTTCCTTTGTGCCCCGACATACCAATTGCAGATTTATTGAATGACAGATTAGTTTTGTTCCTATCAGAGAGATATCTTTTTTCCTTGTGTTAGAGGAGGTGCCATGTTCCTATCCCCACTTCATGAGGCACCTTAGACTGGCTACTGGGAATGAGGGGTGGAGCTGAGCAGGCAGGGAAAGCCACATAACAGGGAAGATGGTGGGCTAAGGAGGAGAGAGAGATCTTGCTTCTGCAACCCGATTTGCACCCTGGTACTGCTGGAAGATATGGAAGGAGACACATGGTGAAGAGACAAAAAGACTCTTGAAAAGGACACAGGGGGAGAAACCCATGGGGAGACTGACAAGGCAGCTGTTATCTTGATTTGTACTTTGATTTTTCTCCTTTTGTCCCAGCTTTTTGGGACCTGCTTAAGAACCCTTTTCCCAGGTTTTCCTGCCAGAAGGTGCTTTAGACTTGTGGCAGGCTTTCAGGTCTTAGTGGCTCTGGCTTCCAGCCAAACCCATTTGGCTGGGCATTTGCCAATGAGAGGATGGGTAATTTTGGCTGTTTCACTAAAAAACTATTATCTTCTCCTCTTCTTTCTCTGCACAGTAATTCCATTAAACATCTTTCCTGCTAAGAGTATGCTTTGCCTTTGTGTGCATGGATGGCTGGGCCCCTTTAGAGTGTAAACATTTGAGGGTCCCTGGATCCCCATCAGTCATGAACTAATACTTGCTGTCCTTGACCTGACCTTGCTGCTGGGGTCTGACTTCTGGGTTCCTGACAGTGCATGACATCTGGCTTCCGTGGCTGAGAAGGGGGCTCTCCAGCATGCCCTCTTCTTCCATGTATCCCCAGAGTCAGAGAAGAAACCCAGTCCAAGCCACTGATGCTTAGGACATGGATGCTTGACTTGTGGCTGAAACCCACCTGGGCTGCAGTTGGCGGGTTCATATTTGAGGCAACACACGTAGATTGCTTCTCTAATACAAACTCTACTAGCTCTGGGATTCTAGGGGTGAAGGGAGAATTTTCAGCACTGAGGCAAAGGCTGTCCCCTGTACACATTTTACATTCTGATTTTATTTCATAAGAGTAAGGAGATGGTTATTATGGCAATTAATAGGCCAGCCCTCCCCCTATGAAATAAGGTAGGCTTCCAAGACAAATTGCATTTTTTGATGTTGAAAAGAATTCCCTGGGGATCATCTCCAAGTCTATAAAACATCAACAAAAGATGCTGACTCCGTGAAGATCCCCACAGAAAGCAGCGAAACACAGAGTGAAGCTAATGATTACAGGGGAAATTGCGGGAGGAGGAGAACCCAAATCCACAAAGACAACTTCTCATGGAACAAAAGAGAAAGAGAAAGGCAGGAGCAGAGAAGGGAAAATTAAGGATGGAAGAGAGCTGAGGACCCTTCCAGAAGTGGACATTATCAGGGGGAGGGCTTCTGTCCAGAACTGAACCTTGGGCTCTTTGAGTCGCTCTCCCACGCTCAGGTTCAAGTTCAGCTGCAAGTACTGTTCTCTGTAGTTGTAGCTGGGCCACAGAGGCAGGCCTATCCCGTTAGGGTCCCTGCAAGTGAGAATAGGTACAGATGAGATTTTCATCTTCAAACACCCAGTGTGGGGGAGGCTGGGAGGTTTATTTACCCTGTCCGAGCAAAGTTAGCCCAGTAGCTCATCATGGTCCTGCTCAGCAATTTCTCCTCCTCAGTGGCTCCTTCTGAAGGAGATAATCACAAAAGCTGTTTCACAACGATTCACCAGAAGTTCAAGGGGCCTCCCGTTTGAGGACTCACTTTTACACCTCCCCTCCTCTTGGATCCTAGCCAGCCAGCTAAGTTATTGTACACATTTTGGGTGCCGAGGCTCAGATACTGCTCAGAGCAATTTCTTTTTTTATATATAGAAATCTCATTTCATTTCTGAAATTTTTATTGAAGAGTAACATACATTACATACAATGTATCAGAAGGCCATAGCTGATTTTCCACAAATTGAACACACCAGTGTAACCAAGAAACAGAACATCGGTATCATGAATCCCATAAACCTCTCTCACGCCACTCCCCGCCCACTCCCACATTGGTCATCTGTTCTACCTCCAACAGCATAGATTAGTGTTGCCTGTCTTTATTCCTTATTTAAACTGAGCAACAATGTGTTTACAAGATTTATCTATATTATTACAAGTAGCATGCTCAGAGCAATTTCAACTTGTCCAAGGAATCATGACTCCCAAAAGGAGGAGACTAAGCACATGTCATTCCCGTCCACCCAGTGCTGGACAGTCCCTCTCAGTAGGCTGCAAATTCCAGAGGGACCGAGCTAATCTCATTCCCTCTTCTCTCTCTCTCACACATGCCAAACTACTTAATATATTTCTTTTTCTTTTTTAAAGATTGTATTTATTTTTTTCATAGAAGAACTGGGATACAGGCCAGAGGTATGGGGAAGAGAGGATTCACCAGAGACAGGTGGGGAGCAGAACAGGCAGATCTACTGAAACACACACTGCTGAGGGGAGCAACGGGGAGACAGGAGAGCTCTGCTGCGCTATGTTGGTAGCTCCTTGGCGGGGGATCCAACTCAGGCAGTTGCATCACAGTGGTAGTGCTGAGACTTAACTCCTTAATATACTAAGGGGAGGCCCTTAATATATCTCTTTATTTGAAAAAGCAATACTTGCTCAAAGTACAAAATCCAAAATGCAGAAAGCATGTCTAATGAAAATTAGTCTCCCTTCCATGTCCTCCTTGTTACCAAGCCCCACTGCTAAAAGCTTCTTGGGCGCCCTCTGAAGACAGCCAAGACAAGTACAAGGGTTTAAGCGGACACCTTTTTACACACTTGGTACTACAATGGAAACCTACTTTCTCTTTTTACTAGAATTCTATCTGGAAGATAGATCCATAGTGGCACCTATAAAACTTCTTTTTATTATGACTTATAAATATACAATAAATGTTTATAGCTAATTATGTATAAATATGTAATTTATATATTTAGTACTTTATTGAGCTTTACTTTGTGTCCAGAATTCTGCTGGTAAAAGCAAAGCTTTAATGTGCACATGTATTTTTGCACATGTGGATGCATAATTGCACTCTGAAAAATCCCAGTAGTTGAATCACCAGGATAAAGGCTATAGGCATGATAAATGCTGAGTTTTTTATTAATATATGAGGTGGTCTGTTCCCTCACACCTGCTCAACAACATTATGTAAAATATGTTGTCCTCAACCTTGATCGATGAAAATGGATTCCTCGATCAAGGTTAGTTTGCCATCCTCATGTCATGAATGAAGCTGAATGGATTTTCATATTTAAAAGTCAGCTGTGTTTCCTTTCCCAACACTGTCTATTTCTATGTGTTACCCAGTTTTTGACTGGGTTGTTCTTTTCTCATTGGTTTCAGGAGTGCTTTAGCTCTCAGATTTAACCTTTTGATACTGATGTTCATTTATTTTTTCTCTTTTGGGGAATCCATGTGCCCATAACATAGTCAAGTTTCACTATGGGATGCTGAGCAATAATAACAGTAACATTTAGTGAGCACCTTCCATGTGGTTTATGGAAATTGCTTCATTTAATCCTTATGAAAACCTAGGAGACAGTTCTGTTATTATCTGTATTATTAGACGAGAATGAATAAATGAAAAAAATGACTAAACTACAGTGCAAAGCACACCTATATGAGTGATTCCATCCTCATCATTGAGGCCAACATCAACTAGTTAAGAGCCTGTATTGTGCAAACATTCCAGTGATATCTCCTGTGTGCTGTTGCTATTGCTTTTTCTATTGATAACTTCATCAGATTGGTTTATTATTTAGGCAGTGAACATGCCATAAATTCAAGAATAAATGAGTGAACATTACAGTAAGAGTTCACAGTTATTTACATTAGATGTGAAAAATCTGGTTGTTGCCTTTCAAAGCCCTGGGGGGGGGGGGAGGATGTAGCCTTATGGAAGCTCCAGAAAGGTAGAGAGAAGAGCAATCAGAGAAAAGAAAGAGGTTCTAATTTGCAAACAAATGAGATTGCCTGAGTGCCCCCAAGTGTCCACCCAACAGACTTCAGTACAAAGACAAGGAATTTAGAAGACCCAAATAAGGGATAAGGAAAAAGACTAATTATAATAAAGTAAAAATCAAAATCAACGGCAACTATAAACCAGAGACACACTACAGTGGGGGAGAAGGGAGTAGGATCAAAACAAGGGTGGAGGGAATTTTATGGGGACTATAACCAAGATGAAAATGCATACATTGTGCAAAAATGAAAAATGATATAAAAATATATAAAATTAAAAAAAAAACAAACACTCATCAAATAAGTGTTGGCTACCCTTTTTCATCTTGGTTTCTGAAAATATGAATGGTGCATTTTCCAGGGCAAGGTTGTGTCTCTAGAGCTTAGAGTAAATGCCAGCTCACCAGCCATAGTACTGGTGTGGCTGAGGGGCTTCGTGCTAACAAATCCCTGTGTCTTCTCCCAGCTCACCCCAAACTTGAGTACTTGCAAGAGCAGGAGCCCAAGGCTAGTTCCTTACCAAACATGACAATGTCACCCTTCAGGAAGGCACCTCCAAAGACAAATCTGATTTCATCAGTGTGATCAGCTTTGACGAAAGCCGGCCTTGAGTCCTGGAAACACTCGGGTCGGTGCTGAAACTCATAGAAGTAGACAGGTGCACCGACATCTGCAGAAAAGTAGGGAAGAGACTGTGGCAGGCAGGCAGGTGTGTAGGGTGAAGCACAGGCTGTCCTCACCATTCCTTTAGCCCCTCTCCACAACCCCCCCACTTCTAGTTCTGGATTCACAGAGCCATAGGAGGGACAGCCCAGAGACAGGAGGCAACTAGAACCAAACTAACTTCCCTCTTCTCCCCTTTGCACACGCACACTACCTCTTGAGGCAGCCTGAGAGGGCAACACTTCTACTTTTCAAAAAACCTTTCATACTGAGCCAAGATCTTTGGCCTGGTGACTTCCACGCTTTGACCCTGGTTCAACTCGCCCAAGACAAACAGAACGAAGTTACTCCCTGCTTCCAAGACACTGTGCACCCTTCAGCTCTCTTTGTATTGAGGGAGTTCTGAAGTCAGGAAGCATAAGTCCTCCAAATTTATTCTTTTTCAAGATTATTTTGGTTATTCTACATTCCTTGAAATTCTGTATGAATTTTAGTATCAGTTTGCCCACTTTTACAAAAAAGGAAATTGGTATTTTGATAGGAATTGCAGCATTGCCATTTTAACAATAGTAAATCTCCATGATCACAGGATGTGTCCCCATTAATTTAAAAAATTTTTATCAACAGTATTTTATAGTTTTCAGTGTACAATACTGTACCTCTTTGGTTATATTTATTCCCAAGTGTTTTATTCTTTTTGATGCTCTTCAAAATGGAGTTGCTTCCTTAATTTAATTTTTGAACAGTTCGTTGTTAGTGTGTAGAAATGCAATTGATTTTTGTGTATCGATCTTGAATCTTGAACATTTGCTGAATTTATTTATTAGCTTTCATAGTTCTTTTGTGGAATCTTTAGTTTTCTACATATAAGATCAAGTCATCTGTGAGCATAGGAAGTTTCACTTCTTTCTTTCCAATTTGGAATCCTTTTTCTTTCTTTTTCTTATCTAAGTGCCCTGGCTAGAATAGATGTGGTGAGGGAAGATAACTTTATCTTGTTTCTGATTATAGAGGGAAATCATTTAATCTTTCACCATTAAGTAACTCAATTCTTCAGCTTCTGCTTCATATATTTTGGATGGCTTTGTAAGGGGCAGAAGGGCTTATAATTGGTATAACTTCTGATGGATTCACTTTTATCTTAAAGTCTATTTTGTCTGATAGCAATATAGCCACACCAATTCTCTTGGTTATTGTTTAAATGGAGTATCTTTTTCCATTATTTCTCTTCCAACATATTTGTATCTTTGGTTCTAAAGTCAGTCTGTTGTAGATAGCAGATAGTTGGATTATGTTTTTAAAATCATTCATTCTGCCTTTTGGGAGTTTAGTTCATTGACTTGTAATTACTGATAAAATACTATTTCTTTTTGCTATTTGTTTTCTATATGTCATCTCTTTTTGTTCATCAGTCCCTCCATCACTGCCTTCCTTTGTGTTAGAAAATGTTTTCTAGTGTACCATTTTGATTCTCCTTTTGTTTTTTAACCATGTATTTCATAGGTTATTTTGGTTTTTTTGTTTGCTAAGTGGTTGCTGGATGATAATTCACATCTAAATTTATAATAATCTAGTTTAAATTAATAGCAACTTAGTTTCTATAGTACACAAAAACTCCCCCCATGTAGCTCTGTCCCCTTTATTATCACAAATTGCATCTTTATATATTTTGTATTAATAACTTAGATTCATGATTATTGCTTTAAGCAGTTGTCTTTTTTATTACTTTTTTTTTTTAATTTGTATATATTTTACATCATTGTTCATTTTTAAATGATGTTTGCTTTCTTTACTCAGGTGTGGTCCCCATAGAATTTCCACCACCAATTCACCCTTGCACCATCACCACAGCCCCCTTTGCTCCTCCCTCCCTCCTTTGATCCCTCTCCCTCCCCTGCAAGATGTCCCTGGTTTATAATTGTCTGTTTGTTTGTTTTTGTTTTGTTTTGTATTGTTATTATTTTTTCCCCTGATGGCTTATTTGGTTCCCCTATATTCCTCCTAAAAGTGAAACCATCTGATATTTTTCTTATTCCTTCTGACTTATTTCACTGAGCATAATTTCTTCTAGCTCCATCCATGTTGCTACGAGTGGCATTAGTTTATATTTTTTGATTGCTGAAGAGTATTCGATTATGTATATATGCCACATCTTCTTGATCCAGTCATCTATTTTTGGGCATTTGGGTTGTTTCCAGGTTTTACCTATTATAAATAGTGCTGCAATAAACATAGGGGTACAGGTACCCTTTTGAATCAATGTTTTTGTGTCCTTTGGGTAGATTCCTAGGAGTGGAATTGCTGGGTCATATGGTAGCTCCATTTTTAGTAGTCTGAGGAACCTCCATACAGCTTTCCATAGTGGTTGGACCAGTGTGCACACCCACCAGCAGTGTAGGAGAGTTCCTTTTCCACCATAATCTTTTTTTTTAATGCGCCTACCACTGAACATTTTATTTACTCTTGATATATTAATGGTTATCAAGAAAATATGGTACAGTTTCAGGTTTAATAAAATTACATGGCAAATTATCTTTTGATGCATCAAAAATCATTAATATAATGGAATAAATTATTTTAACAACCCAGTAGTAATGGATGGCTAAAAGAATATAAGCATTTTAATTTTCAAAATGTTTTTGCAGTTACACATTTCAGGGGATACTGAAATCAATGAGGCAAGTGTTTGGAATTTTAGAAACAGAAACAAAAGAATAATTTAAAAGGGTGACTTGTGGGTTTCTTCCATGCAAGGGCTCTATCAGTATAACTGGCCTTCTCATAACAGCAAAGTTATATGCAATGTGTATGTGATAAACAAAATTGTTGTTTCTTTAAATTTCTACCACCTCAGTTTCACTTAAACTTTCACATTTAGACTTTTGCTTAAAATCAAAAGGCAAGTGATAAGTACATTTTAAAGGCACTTGGGTAAATACTGTCTCATGCAAAATAATGGTGATGATTTTTCTCAATAGAGCAAAGTCTATCAGAGCAAGTAAACAGTCAGGATAGATGACTACATCCATAAAATAATCTTGACTTGCTGCACAACACCACAGGGCAATTTCACACTCTGAAGGACATTCTCAGTATAGGCCTGCTCTACAAGGAAGCAGGAACGATGAAAAGATGATCTATTATACAGTAGAATTAGCCACAATATTTATCTGTTCTCCATTAATCAGGGTTTGGTATCTTATTTTTTATGTTTGCCCCTGCTCATGGATTGGAAGAATTAACATTATTAAAATGGCCATCCTACCAAAAGCAGTATACAGATTCAATGCTATTCCAATAAAAATCTCAATGACATACTTCAAAGAAATAGAACAAATACTAATGAAATTCATATAGAACCACAAAAAAGCACGAATAGCCAAAGCCCTACTGATGAAAACAAAGGAGAGAAGCAGTATCACACTTCCAAGCTTCAAGCTATATTGCAAAGCCATAATAATTAAAAGTTTGGTATTGGAACAAAAACAGACACACAGACCAATGAAACCAAATAGAGAGCCCAGACATAAAGCCACACTTATATGGACAACTGATCTTTGACAAAGGAGCAAAGAATATGCAATGGAACACAGACAGTTTGTTCAATAAATGGTGCTGGGAAACCTGGACCTCCACATGCAAAAAAATGAAACTAGACCACTACCTTTCACTGTGCACAAAAATCAACTCAAGATGGATAAAAGAACTGGACATAAGACCTGAAACCATAAAATATATAGAAGAAAATATAGGTAAAACACTACAAGGCATTACATCTCAAAAACATATTTAAAGACTCATCACCCAAAGCAAAGAATGACGAGGAAAAGATAAACACTGGGGATTACATCAAACTGAAAAGCTTCTGTACAGGAAAAGAGACATTAACCAAAACAACGAGACACCCCACTGATAGGGAAAAAAATCTTTGCACTCCATACAACTGATAAGGGACTGATCACAAAGATATACAAAGAATTCACCACATTTTTGCCAACATTTGTTGTTGCTAGATTTTTTGATATGTGCCATTCTTACTGGTGTAAGGTGGTATCTCATGGTAGTTTTGATTTGCATTTCCCTGATTATAAGGGATGTTGAACATTTTTTCATATGCCTGTTGGCCATTTGCATTTCCTCTTTGGAGAAGTTTCTTTTAAGTTCTTCTGCCCATTTCTTTCTTTCTTTTTTAAAAAGATTTACTTATTATGCATACAAGAGCTGGGGTACAGGTCAGAGGTGTGGGGGGTGAGAGGATTCACCAGAGACAGAGTGGGGAGCAGAACAGGCAGATCCACCGAAATACACTGCTGAGGGGAGCAGTGGGTGAGTCAGGAGAGGTCTGCTGTGCCATGTGGGTTTCTCCCTGGATGCCCAGGGATCAAACTTGTGCTGCAGAGGCTGTGGATTGCCTCGTAGTGTGGTGCTTAACCCCTTGCGCCACCAGGGAGATTCTTTTCTGCCAATTTCTTGACTGGATTTTTTACTTTGTTTTTGTTGAGTTGTGTGAGTTTTTTGTATATCTGTGATCAGTCCCTTATCGGCTGTATGGAGTTAAGCAGTTGTCTTTTAAATCATATAGGGAAAAAAAATTAGAAACCAAAAACACATTAATATTGACTTTCATATGATAAATAAGGATGGTTACCTTTGCTTATATATATTTCTTCTGCTTGTGGATTTGTGGTAATGTGTAATGTCCTTTCAATTCCAGCCTGAAGGACTTTAGAATTTCTTGTTAGGCTTACAAATAGCAAACTGTTTGCATTTGTCTGGGAATGTCTTAATTTCCCTTTCATATCTGAAGTATAGTTTTGACAGATATATAACTCTTGACTGACAAGCTTTTTCTTTCAACACTTTGAATATGTCATCTTGCTGACTTCTAGCTGCCATAGCTTCTGATGAGACATCAGCTGTTGATTTTATTAGATTTTTTTTTACATGATTATACCTTCTTTCTTACTGCTTTTATGAATTTTCCCTTTTCTCTGATTTTGGTTATTTAGATATAATTTGTTTCTGATGGATCTCTGAGTTTCTTCTAATTGATATTCATAGAGATACTGGATATGAAAATTTATCCTTTGTCATAATTTGGAATATTTTTATCATTATTTCTTCAAAAGAATGTTTGCCTTTTCTCTCCCCTCTTTCTGGAACTACTTGGGGTACTTGCTGGTGTCCCATGAACTTCTTAGCCTCTGTTAATTTTTCTTCATTCCTTTTTCTTTTTGGTCCTTGGTTTGGATAACCATCAATGGATTTATCTTCAGATTCTCTGGTTCTTCCTTTTCCAAGCTCAAATTTGCCAGTGATCCCCTCTAATAAACTTGTCTTTTCAGTTACTGTACTTTTCAACTCCAGATTTTCTATTTTGTTATTTTTTTATAGTTTTAAAAAAGATTTATCTATTTATTTATTTATGCATACAAGAGCTGGGGAACAGACCACAGATGCAGGGGGTGAGAGGATTCACCAAAGACAGAGCAGGGAGCAGAACAGGCAGATCTACTGAAATACACTGCTGAGGGGAGCAGCGGGCGTGACAGGAGAGGTCTGCTGTGCCCCGTGGGTCAGCTCCCTGGCCAGCCGGGACTGAACCTGTGCTACAGTGGCTGTGGATAGCTTCATAGTGCTATGCTTAACCCATTGTGCCGCCAGGGAGTCCCCTATTTTTATAGTTTTATACATTCTCTTCACTGTTATTCTCTATGGTTTCCTTTAGTTTATTTATTTTTTTTGTACATGTTTTCTTTGAACATATTTAAAGTAAGACCAATGTCTGGATTTCCTGAGGGACTATTTCTTTCTTTCTTTCTTTTTTTTTTTTTTTTTTTTTTTTTTTTTTTTGCTGCTTGTTGGGTTCTACTTTCTTGTTTCTTAGCAAACTTGGTTGAAAACCAGAGATGTTGAATATTGCCATGTGGCAATTCTGAATTTTACTTCCTCCCCATTATTTATTATTCCTTCTTGTGGCTGCTATTGTTTGCTTGTTTAGCAATATTTATGCTCGATTTTACTCTAATGCACTTATTACCATTTAACAAGCTAACAAATATATTATACTTGTATGTTATCAGTCTTCCCAGCTAGAATGTGAGTTTCATTATTTTGCTCAGTGGTCTATCTCCAGGACCTAGAATGGTGCCAAGTACAAAGCAGAACCTTAATGACATTTCTGGAAATCAAAGGAAAGGGAGATGGGGAGATTGGAAAGGGAAAGGAGGGAAGAGGAGAGGAGAGAAGAGGAGAGGGGAGGAGAGGGGAGGAGAAAGGGGGAGAGGCAGGGGGAAGGGGAAGGCAGGCAGGCAGGAAGGAAGGAAGGGAGGAGGGAGGGGAGCTTGTGTCCCATAAGTAATCTCTTTCTGAGCGCACTAATTATAATCAAGATATCTGGGGGGCCTCCCCAGTTGAGTGCTGGGCTGCGAAGCTGTCCGCAGCCTCTGCAGTGCTGGTTCGATCCCTGGCCACCGGGCGAGGGTCCCACATGGCGCGCAGACCTCTCCTGCCGCCCACTGCTCCCCTCAGCAGTGTATTTCGTAGGTCTGCCTGTTCTGCTCCCCCTTCTGGCTCTGGTGAAGCCTCTCACCCTCCCACGTTTCTGATTGTACCCAGTGCTTATATAAATGAATAAATGAATAAATAAATCTTAAAAAAAAAGATATCTGGGAAGATACTTCCAAAGGGAATCTGGGGAACAGTCCCAGAAAGTTATGAGGAAGTAGGAATTTTCTACATGATTCTGAAGAAGGGAAGGAACAGAAACAGCAAGAACTCATCAGCATTCCTAAACTCTGGAAGACAGGCAGATGCAAAGTCAGCATGCAGGTGATATCCCAGACACCAGTGGGAGCCCCTGTCAGTGAGGGAACGGAAGGGCAGAACAGGCTGGTCAGCCAGCAACAGGCTCCTCCAGCGGGGCTGTGGCCCTGGGCCAGCAGTAGGCTACTCAGACTCACCTCTGTGATTTCGAGCTGTGATCAGTGCAGGGACCACAAAGAACACATCTCCGAGCAAGTCCAGAAAAGAATTTCGTATTTCAAGTGGATACTGCTTTTTGTGGAAGTATTCTTGAGCCACAAGGTACATATACTGGGTGGGGATGTTCTGTAAAGAGTCATGGTCACAGGAGACCCAGGTCAACAACAACAGACAACACAGTGAGTCTTCCTTTACCCAGCCGTTCTTTGAAGCTACAACTTTAAGTAAAACAGCATCAAGAAAACAAATTTAACCAGAGGCCAATTGGTATGACAGGAGTTAACTTCTTACTCTGGTCACAAAAACATCCCCAAACTTCTAAATAAAGACTGCAAACTCTTCTAATCTTAAGTAATAATTTGTATTCATTCATTCATTTCCCAAGACACTTGTTCCAGTTCAGCGTCTTGGGTGGTTAGAGCCCGCCCTGGCAGCTCAAGGCATAAAGTGGGAGTCCTGAACAGGATGCCCTTGTGTCACAGAACAGTCACACCCACACCACACTCACTCTGACTGGACAACTGAGTCACGCCAGGGAACCTAACGTGTACATCTTTGGGAAGTGGGAGGGAACCAGACCCCCTGGAGAGAGCCCACACAGGACATGCAAACGCCATGAAAATAGTGGCCCTAGCTGGAACATATTTTTTTCTCATCAACATTACAATAAAATGATGTCATCAGAGGAACAGTTATGCCGTTTGAAAGGCAGCACCTGGTGTGCTCCTGTACCCCAGGAGAGACCGCATGCCCTTCTGGTCCCCCGGCACTTTCCTACACAGGCTGCTTCCTAGTCCGGCGATCTGGTTTGACACCTTCCCTCTGGACATGTACACCTGCTCAAATGCTCCCTTTCTCTAAGGCAAGACCTCCCATGAGCCCATTTCCAATCTAGCCTGAGAGATTCCACTGTCCGATTTGTATTTTAAATATTTTTCAAACCTTTTCAGCAACTCTTATCAATAGGCAGCCACGACCACCAAATACCCCCTGTAAGCCTTCAGGCCTGAGGGATCCCCTGCGTTCAGTCTGCCCCACTTTGCATCTACAGGGCTCTTTCTAAAATGAAAATCAAATAACGTCCCTGCCCCTGAGGTCAGCTTTATTTTCTTTCCGTATTGTAACAGCTATGTCCACCCTCCCTTGCTGCAGCCAAGTCCTCCCGCTGATCTCTTTGAAGCCTCTGGTCCAGATTTGTCTTCTCCGTTCCTACAGCTCCCCTCACCCTGCTCCTTTGCCAGCCAGGGAAACCTAACTTGAACTGGCAGCTCCCACTGTGAGCCCCACAGGGCGTCAGACAGTCATTACTCTAGTCCACAGACATGGATGGCCGTGTCCATCCACCTTGACAGTCCACCAGTTCCTCGGGACCTTGGGAAGGACCGAAGCATGAGGACTTTCAATGAACATTTGTTGAATGAATAAATGACTGAGACAAACCTGCATGGAATATACCTGAATAAATGTGCATGACGAGAGAGAAAGGAGGAAAGGAATCCATCTCTACATCCCCGTGCCTAGGCTCCGTCTGTGCAGGGAGCTAATGAAAAAATGCTATGGTGCGCAGACCTCTCCTGCCGCCCGCTGCTCCCCTCAGCAGTGTACTTCGGTCCTTCTGCCTGCTCTGCTCCCTGCTCTGGCTCTGGTGAATTCTCTCACCCTCCCGCGCTTCTGACTGTACCCAGTGCTTGTATAAACAAAAACAAACAAACAAACAAATAAATAAATAAAATATGCCTCTATACAAAATAAAAAAAAAAAGAAAAAATGCTCCCAGCACTGCTGGAATCCAGCACAGGCCTCATTTGGCCTGTGCTGACTACAGGCACCTCGTCCCAGTTGTGTTCAGAATTCAGAACTTTTCAGATCATAGATAATTCAGCACACATGCTCCAATTATGTATCATGCTCAGGGGGTTGGGGACCCAGACAGCACCCCAACATCCACATTAACATGTCCACAAAGAAACCTATGAATAATAGAATAAGTAAAAACAATGCCTGTGTGGGAATGGTGGAGACTGGCTACATGTCAGCTGGGTCAGGTTTGGCCTCCATGTGATTACAAAAAGTCTTTGGACTTCCAGAGCTCTTTGTATGTTGAGAGGTTGGCTAAGGGACTGCAGAACTCTACTGTGTAAAGACTGTAGGAAGGAAGGAGGGTGGGGGAGGACAGAGGGTGGAGGAAGAAGAGAGGGCTGGAAGGAGAGCAAGGAGTGCATGGCCCCAGCCCCTACCCAGAGCACCACCCAGCATGGCTTGTTAAGTGAACAGGTCTCTGTGGGGGTCCTGCTGTCCAGCCCCACTTACCATTAGTGTGTGTAACAAGTGCATGGCCAGAGATTTGTTGGAGCCTCTGAGGATCTCAGGGAATTCCTTCTGTGGAGAGAAACCAGGGCTCTGTCAGCACCTCAGGTTGTCAGAAGGGAAACCGGCACCTGTCTTTCCTCAGGGTGGCTGGGATGGGCAGGAGCCCCTGCTGTCCCCTGACAGGTCGGTCGGACAGCCTCAGAGGGTGGTTTGAGCAATGTGACTTCCTGTCATACCTGCCATCTTGGGGACCCAATGGTTGCCCCGAGGGGAGGCTACACAACAGGGGGAGTTGTATCTGCCCAAATTCCTCTGCTGAAGTTCTCACCACTGCCCTTATATCTCAGAATGTAACCTTATGTAAAGAAAGTATTTGTTCTTTTTTTAAAAGATTTATTTATTTTTATACAAGAGCTGGGGTACAGGCCAGAGGCACGGGAGGGATTCACCAGAGACAGATCAGGGAGCAGAACACGCACTGGAGAGGCTGTGGACAGCTTTACAGCACACACTCAACCCGCTGCACCACCAGGGAGGCCCATGTAGAGATAGTTTTAAGAGGTGATTAAATTAAAATGAAGTCTGACTGGTGTCCTTTTAAAAAGGAAGTCTGGACACAAGGAAACACGGGTATGTGCAAGCACAGAGGGAGACCAAGCGAGGAAACAGCAGGAAGGCAGCCACCTGAAAGCTGAGGAGGGAGGTCTCAGAAGAAACCAGCCCTGCTGCCCTTGAACCTGGCCTCTGGCCTCCAGAATTTGAGGAAATAAGTTTCTGTTGTTGAAGTGACCCATACTGGGGTATTTTGTTAGAACCACACTAGCAAAGTAATATAGGCCACAACTTGACTTTGACACCAAATTCAAAGAGAGACCAGACAAATCTCAAAAATAGTGGTTTGATGTTCTCTTTCTAAAGACCTTTGCAATCAGGGCCTCTGAGAAGCCAGCACTTGGCAGACAGCCAGTAAGGCTGCGAGGCTGGTGGTTAAGAACCAGTGCTGCTTGGTACATAGTAAGAACTATGAGTAATTATTTGTTAAGTGATCTTCCCAGGCCAACATTCTAGCTTAAAAACAGGAGCGAGCAGAAATACTACTCATTTGTCAAGTGAATGTCCCTAGTTCATTTTTTGTCTGAAATCTTGGGGTAATGAATCACTAGGGTAGATATTTAAACATAATTGTCGCTTGGAGTCTGAGGGAGCCCCCAGTCATTCAACTTATTTATAGTTGGTCTAACTACTAAGAATTGTCTGTGTATGTTTGGGAGTGTGACCACACTAGGCCACACTCTTGGGAGATGCTGGGGGCATAGACTTCCTTCCTGCCTTGCTCCTTCCTTCACAGCCAGCCATGAGTGTAATGACCAGAAGATCAAGCTTTTGAGCTATGCAGACCAGGCTCCAATTCCCTTTCCGTCTCCTGAATAATTCTAATTATCTAACATTTCCTGATTGTTTACTATTTGCAAGTTATTTAGTGTGTATATGTGAGGCAGGTAGTAAGATCAGCCCTATTTCACAGATGAAGGGATAGAGGTTCAGAGAGGTTAGGCAACTCACTTAGGGTCACACAGCAGGTAAATCAAGAACTCCACACTTAAAGCCAGATTCTAAGTGCATAAACACTACAACTATTTCCACACTAGCTGGGAGACTTAGAAAAGTCACTTTTGTTTCCCTGAGCCTCAAAACTGGACTAATACTGCCTGCTTGCCAGTCACAGCACAGATGGGAACACTCGGCAGGTAGAAGGCATACAGGACTGGCCACAGTGCTGTGGGGTGTTGGCTGCCATCAGCAGCACCAACCTTCTTCTTCCTTGCACAGACCCAAAATTAGTAACAGTGGTAGGATTTCCTACCATTCTACTCAAAGGGCTGCCCTCCTCCCAGGCGGAGTGCACTAAAATGGCTTACTTAGGCCAGTCTGTGATAGTGGCAGTGGTCTGGACAGGGGTTCTCAATTGCCTTCTTACAATAGGAGGAAAAAATTCCCACCCCCACTTAACTCCTAAACATTGCTGTCAGTCAAATTAATAATGGCAGATGTGCCTTTACAGCCTCATGAATGCGGGGTTTTGGTTCTAGAAGGCCACCGAGTACCCCTGAACTAGACAGACCTCTGTGTTCCTTACCCTCCTTTCTCCAGCTTGAAAGGAGGCTTGTCAACTTGAATGAGCTTTGATGGCATTGCGAATTTAAGCACTCCACTCTGCTGAGGGCCACTGAGAAAATTTGTTTTTGAACGTGGAGGGTCAAGAAAGTGGGGCTCCCTGTTAGCATTCAGGCCTCAGCTCAATGGCCCCTCCTCAGGTAAGTCTTTAGCGATTGCTTACTCTTCCCTAAAGCAACTCATTCTCCTGGGTTTACATTCTTCCTGACACTTGTCACTCTCTGGAATCATCTTTGCAACTTGGCGCTCTCTCTGAGAATGTAAACCAGCAGAAAGCAGGAACTGTGTCACCCGGCCACCGCCATAAGCTCAGTTTTTGCCAGAGCACAGAGCACATAGTAGGTACTCAGTTCATCCTCATTGAGTGAATGACATAAATCCATAATTTCAAACTTGCACAATCTTAGAGAACATTCTCAGGAGTCAAAGGCCTCAATCAAGGCTGCACAAGAAAAGGTAAAGGCTGAACTTTTCCAAACCTAGATGAATTTCACCTTTGAAACTATAATCGTGCTTATTTGAAACAAGCACTTGTGATGTTCTGACCAAAGCTCTGGCCCAATCCTCTAACATTTTACGGACTCATTTTTCCACAAGCGTCTACAAGGAGATGGGGGTCCACTTGCTATGGCAGTCCCCATGCTCGGTCACCCACCTCAGAGAGAAAAGATGATCACTTAGCTGAGGGGCCTCAGCCCTCACAGTATTAGGTGTCACCTAAGGGGAACCCATCTGTGGAATCAAACAACCACCTCACTCATTGGGAGAGACCAGAAGCACCACCAGAATCCTCACCATGGGCAGCAGAAAGCCACACTCGTGGTTATTGACTCCGATGATAGAAGGAACTGGATGGAATTGTTTCTGAGTCATTAGATCTAGAGGCTCCTCAGGAAAGAAAAATCCATCAACCACTCGAGTGAACGACTTGGTTTTCTGAAATAAGAAGGGAAAAATTGACAGCTGTTTCTCTTTACAAATTCCACTGTCCCCAGCCCCTAGCCAGGCTGAGGCGAGTGGTCAAAGTGCAGTAAGAAAAGAAAATAAGCCATCCCAGTGCAGAGTGCCCCTGGGCCAGCCCCCTGGAGCAAAGGTATTCAACTTTTTTGAGCCTTGGTTTCCTCATCTTCTAACTGGGTAAGAACAGTAGTTACCTAAGAAAAATAGTAGCCTTGCATAGTGGTTCTCAAAGTGGGCCTCCAGGACTTGTGGCGGCAGCATCATCATCAGGAAACTTACTAGAAATGCAAATTCTCAGGTTCCATCCCAGACCGACTGAATCCAGAACTCCAGGGGTGCAGCCCAACCATCTTGTTTTAACAAGCCTGCCAGGAGATTCTCATGAATGCTCAAGTGTGGGAATCACTGACTAAATGCAACAGGCAGAGTGGGGAGCAGAGGGATGGCTAGTGGGGGTGTGGGAAGCTCGTCCTGAGACGTCCATGTGCCTTGGATCTAGCTGGATATTTCTTAGGTCTGAGGAAGCAACACCTGGCTCTCATCCTGGTTTTTCAAGGTGTTGAGAGTGGGTCAGAAGGGAAGACACAAAACAGCTGTCTTGCGACATCAGATCAAGGACTGTTACCCATTTTTTGGATGTGAGCACAGCTCATGCCAAATAACTAACAAACATGGAAATCTGACAGATAATGACCTTGATGATTCGAGGACAATCAGAAGCTCCAAGATTGGAAAGGACATAAAAGCTCATCCAGTTCAATGATTCATCCTGTGATTGAAATTTGCCAGTGGTCATCTAGACCCTGCTTGAATACGTCCAGAGTGAGTGTCTCACTCTCTTCTAATGGAGCCTGTTGTTTTTCAGACAACTGGGTTTTTAGGAAGGCCTTGGTTATACAAATTCAAAGTGGTTTCCTAACAGAACTTCGAGCTCTTGACCTTGATGTTAGCTTCTGGTAGCATGTGGAGCAAGGATGGTCCCCATCTCTGTCCATGAGATGCCTTCAGTGACCTACAGACAACCTTTGAATTTTAGTGGCTCTTCAGGCTAAGCAGCACCCCTGGCCCATCAAGTTCCTTGAATTACCTATAAGTGTTGGAGGCGGCCACCCTGCGTAGTAAGCAGAAGGGCCTTGACCCGAGTCTCTAAGGCATGTGAAAACACATGTGTCTCGGAGGAAAACCTCTGAGTGACAGGACTTGGTGTTAAGAGCCTGGAAAGTGACCTGCGTGGAGTCGGGCTTCTACATCTCCACAGCCTGAGAATAATAAAATGGAGAGATCCTGTGCAGTAAGCAGAAGGGCCTTGACCTGAGTCCCTAAGGCATGTGAAAACACATGTGTCTTGGAGGAAAACCTCTGGGTGACAGGACTTGGTGTTGAGAGCCTGGAAGTGAACTGTGTACATCTCCACAAATTGACAACAACAAAATAATGAGCGAACTTCCCAGGTTCAGGCTAGGAGGCGATAAGATTATGTGTGTGAGAACTAACCGCCTGGTATCCTACTGTCTGAAGTAAATAGATAATAGTAAGAAAATAGACTAATTATTTATACGTGTTATCATTATGTGGTATGCTTTGATGTTACACCTGCTACAATTAAAATAGTATATAATAAACACTAAGACAATAAAGATTTGCTGCATGCTGGACATGACAGTCCCCCATGTCTAATTTCCTTCACCGTCGCGGGTCAGGGTCGGACTCACTAGAAGTCCACATATAAGGATTCTGCCTTCTACATGGGCAGACATTATTTTTTAATAGTAATGTCAGGCATTACTATGAATCACTAATCCCTAGCTTTCCAAGTCTCAAGCCTAAGGAAATAAGAGAGAAGTAGGATTTGCCTTCAGCTCCCTTCAAAGGGCCAACCTGCCCCCAAGCCCTCCCCTGCTCTTTACCTGGCTGACGTTGAGCAGCTCCTCAGACGATTTTGCCCTCAGGCACTGCAGCAAGGCAGGGGAGTCTGAGGCCTTGCAACCACAGGCATCTGCAATCATCTGCAACTATTTCCAGAAAAGGACCAGGTCAAAGCTGGGTACTGAAAAGCTCCAAAAAAGTGAAATTTGGAAAGAGTACTTAATCCAGCCACAGGCTGCTCTGCCTGCTGCCCCCTCACCACCTTGTGCCTAGAATGGGATGTACCCATCAAGGACAGATGGACTGGTGTTCTCCATACTCGCTTACCTGAACCTCTTTGTCATCTTTGCTAATTGTCAGAGCTGGGGGAGGTGCTGTGTCAGTCTGTGGGCTGGGACAGAGTCAAGGTTCTGGGTTCCAGAAAGGCCAGTCTGGCACCAGTCCCCCAAGGAGATGAGAAACTCAACTCTGGGCTGCTATATGGAGTTAGGAGGCCCAAGAGTAAGGAATAGCTTTGCAAGCTTCTTAACTGCCAGTTGAGGCATGCCTCTAGTCAGTCTTGGCCTGTCAGTTCTCTGAAACCTCTCTCTCACCCCCAGCCTGGAAAGCCCTAGAAGTCTTTTTTTTCTGTCTCTATGCCAATTCTACTAATTTTGGCCCACCTCCTACTTCTCGCAGAATGACAAGGGGTTGAGCACAGCGCTGTGAAGCTATCTGCAGCCTCTGCAGCACAAGTTTGATTCCTGGCCAGTGAGCTACCCACATAGTGCAGCAGACCTCTCCTGTCTCCCTGCTGCTCCCTTCAGCAATGTATTTCAGTAGATCTGCCTGTTCTGCTCCCCACTTTGTCTCCAGTGAATCCTCTCACCACCTCCTTCTGCACCTCTGGCCTACACCCCAGTTCTTGTGTGCATAAATAAATCAATCTTTTAAAAAAAGAAAAAGACATTTGTTTAAAAAAAAAAAGTACTTTTAAACCACTGCAGTTTTCCTCCTCTTAACTCTTCTTGCCCAAGGATCCTCACCTTCTCTACCCAGCCCTTTGCAAAATGCCTGCTCACCCCGACATTGAACTTTGCACATGTGCAGATCCTGTCCCTTCAAAGTGGTGGCCCTTACTCTTCTGGGCGTCATAGATGCTCTAAGCAGCCCATGAAAGCTATAGACCTTCTCCCTGGGAAAACGGACACACAGAGAATCTGCATACAAGGAGTTCAAGGAGCACCTTCCGAACACATGGACTGCAGGTTAAAAATACTTGGCATGAAACATTATTGTTGTCTTGAGCTAGTTTTCTACTTATAAATTCAGAGGTCCTAGCAGAGCTGAGAAAACATTGTGAACTCAATATGCATGTGGTGAATGAACAAATATGAGCACAAACCAGAAGTTGATATATCGTGTTACCAAAATCAATAATCCCTGTGTATTGAGGTTATTTTTACAATCTTATAACTCTGCTTCTGTTTTTGTTCTTAGTGCAGGGTTTGTATTTTCTAGAGGATATTTAAGAAAATACACCACTAAAATGTACAATACCCGGGCTCCACAGTCTAATGTTTATTTAATATTCATCAACTGCAACAGCATATCCCTTAACTCAAACATTAAGTAAACATTTACGGTCGCCTAAAATAACCAAGGCATTACGCTGGGACATGAAAGATAGAGACCTCAGGATCCAGGTCCTCACTATCTGGCAGAGCACTAAGACAAGAGGACAGATGACAAATATCTGGGTATATGTCCTATCTCCCCACATGATCTTGTGCCAGACAACATTAATCAGTCATAGTGTTATTCCCACTGAGCTGTAAATAGCCTCAGAATCTTTCTTAACATAGTAGTCCAGGAGGTGAAGCAGAGTAAGTATAGGAGATGAATTTTATATAAACAGGGGACTAAGTTATATATCATAAGCAAAGGATATAGTTAAGGTGGAAAAATGATCACGGTACACACATGTGTGCACACACCCACAAGTGAACACACATGCATATACACACAAAAACACACACATTTGCACACACCCACATACACACAAACCCAGATACTCACATTCACACATATGCATATGCAGTCACATGATATTCATAACACTCACACGCATACACTTTCACACGTATGCATATGCACATATGCACTCACAGCCATGTACACCAGCAATATTGCATTATGTAGCTGCACCCACTTCCTACTGAACCAGGTCTTCCATGGTAGCCTCTCTGGGCCAGCATCAGATTCTTTGACCATGGTTAGCAAGTACAGGGAAGCACGTGGTCTATGCACAGATGATCAAATTCTTTCCTGAGAACAAACTGAAAAGGGTAACAGTGAACCTACATCCTTACTCCTAGCGTCATCAGCAGCCTTCAGGTAAGGGATGATGGCCACCCCACTCTCCATGATGGCTTTGTGGAATAAGCCAGTGGTCAGTGGGGACAGAAGCTGGAGAGAGAACACAGGAGACACGAAGTTATTTATGGGGCTGGCTCCCCATCACACACACCGCCCATTCCTTTTTGGAAAAAAACTTTTCTAGGAAGCTCTGAGCTCAGAGGGGGGGGCAAAAAAATCTGGTTTGGGGGTTAGAGCTGTCAAGGGGTTTGGGCAAGTTATTGAACCTCTCCAAGTCCTGATTCCTTATAAACTTGAAGTTCATGAACACCAGCTCTGTCATCTCTTAGCTGGGGAAGCACAGGCAAGATGCTTATTACTTCTAAGCATCCCCTTTAGGGGAGCAATACACTGAAATAGAACCTATTACTGAACCTATATACTGAAACTGAACCTATCTCCTGGACTTATGAGGAGCAGGAGAAGCTTAAATATAGAAGGTTTTGTACAGTGTTCGTTTGAATAAGAGCTCATGAAATGGTGGCTATCATCACATATATAAAGTGAGTTACTATAATCCCTTTATTGCATTACTTTGAAGATATAAAAAAATACTTTGTCAAGGGCTACACAGCAGAAGTTCTCTTAACCCATCTCGTGTAGCTCATTTCTGTGATTATATGTTAACTGGTGTCCTCTAGAGCCATTTTCCAGGACCTCTGTACATTCCTATTATCATCCATTTCCTGCCAAGAGTTAAGTGTGTTTGCTTCCGAACTTGTTTTTTCAGTTACACTTACTACTGTAATTATATAATGGGTGAAATACCATGGGAATGAATGAAGTGTGCATGTGAAAAAAAAATGTTTGGGGGAAACAAAGCCTTGATAAAGGCAAGTAGTGAAAAATACTGCTGTCAAATTAGATGTGAACAAGTAAGAGTAAAGTGTGCAGAGGGAAATAAAACACTCCATGAGCACTTCACAGCCTACTTTTAGGCATCTTGAAGTTCATGCTCACTGGAAAGAAACTAAAACTGCAATTTGAGGGCAATGAATTCTTTAGGAGGTTTCTGCATGCAAATGCATGTTGGCCCTCCAGCCAGCGACAAACTGAAATGACAAGGCCCTAAATCAAACCACTGGTGAAGGAATGTGCATTTTATGTTTTAAGTAAAACCAAAATGATTATATGAATCATTTGTTATTTTATGCTTTTAGCTTAGTTTTCTATTAGACAAGTAATTACCAGTTCTGGTATTGGATACCAGGGCTCCAATTTTATAAATATAAATGATTTTTTTCTCCTGTTATTACAACGTGACCTTGGGCGATTCAGTTAAACTTCCCAGGACAGCTCTAGTCCATGAAATGAGACTGAGCCCCTAACTCACAATGTGAGTCTCTCTGGAGATCACAGATCTAAGAGTGTTTGTTCAACTCGAAAGCACCAATTTGGTGTCAGGGATTCATCATGTGTATTTTCTAACCTGCCCCACTGAGATTAGTTCAGGCCCCAAAGAGGAGCACTCACAAGGCCAGAAACACTAATGGCTCCCGCTGACTCGCCAAAGATGGTCACGGAGAGTGGGTCCCCTCCAAAGAGGTTGATGTTCTTCTGGACCCAGGTAAGGGCAGCCACCTGGTCCAGGAAGGCCCAGTTCCCTGGAGCATGCTGGTCCCCTGTGCTGGGGGTGAAAGGCAGGGTGAGAATGCCCAGTGGGCCACGGGACATTGGGGGTGAGGCTGTGGGAGGGTGTCAGGGCATCACCAGCATCCTATAGGGAAGAGAGGTAAATTGGAAGTTTGGGGGAGCTAGAAAACCAGGTTGGGTTCTCACCCTCTGCTGAGATTTGGATTTCTCTGAAAAGTTGATGAATGCTAAACAGCCAGGAGGAAAAAGCACAGCCTGGCAGGAGAAATTGCAGGGTATTCATAGGTTCCCCTGAATCAATGGATCCAGAAGAGCCCTGTTCTTGGCAGTTAGGCTGCACCAGGGAGCAAGGCCTCCCTGTGCACAGAAGTTTCATGATCTGGACACTTATGATCCCGGGTGGCCTTGAGCAAGTCAATGAACCTGCTTTACCACAATGTTCTCTTGTCTAGAATGGGCTAATCCTGGTGCCTAATTTGAGTGGTGGTTGTGAAGGCTGATGGTGCCAGGCACACAATAAGCCCTATGTCCACATCAACGATCACTAGTCAGTCAATCACCACCCTGATTCACTCCTCTGGTCTGCATTAAGACTGCACAGTAGCCTCCCAGTCAAACTCCCCATCTGCAGCCTGGACACCCTTAGCCCCGCCTTCACTCTACTCTCCAGAGCACAGCCTGGCTTTCAAAGTCTCTGCCAATCAGACCTGCCCTCACCTTTCTAAATCCATGTCCTACTGTGTCCTCATTTGCCTGCCCAGATATTGGAAACAATTTTTGGAAACCTTTCTGCCAAAGGGATCTGTTGCAGTCTACCACGGTACATAATCACTAGAGGTGTAATTGCTCTGGTCACGGTACCTCTCTCAGTCCTCCTTGTCTTCACTGAAGCCCCGGAGCCATCTCCCAGTGCTCCAGGACCACATATTGCTACATTTCCTTGCAAGTTCCCAGCTTTTGCTCTGGCAGCAGTCTTTGCAAAGTATGATCTCTCCCAACCCAACCTTGTCTTTCGGGTGCAGCTGGAATGCCACCTCTCCCATGAAGCCTCCCTGATTTCTTGCAGCTCTCTCGGTCTCGCAGTCCCACTGCCTCGCAATCTCAGGGCATTAAACCTGCCCTGCCTGGTGGCATGAGTACTGGTGCTGCTGCATTAGCTTCCCCATGACACTAAGAGTTTCTCAAGGTCAGATCCATATTAGCATCACTGCTAAATTCCCCGCTGTGACAAACAGCAGCCTGCCCTCTTGACTCACTCATGCCTTCCACCATATTCTTGGTAGGATACCAGAATTGTCAAGAGCCTCGGCTCTGTTCTGTGAGCTCTGAGAAGCTGCTTCCCCTCTCTGTACCTCCATGTTTCAACTGTAAAGTGGGACTAGCAACAGTGTGCTTCCAGGAAGACTATTCTGAGGGTGAGCTGGAATAATGCATGGTGAGTGCCTGCACCCTACCTGGCTCACAGTGAACGCCCAAAGCATGTGAGATGTTATTGGACAGAAGGAAGTCAGCACAAAGAATCATTTTTCTCAGGGAGCATTCGGGGAGCCTCGAGATGGGGCCCACGCTACACTCCTGACTGCTCCCACAATACAACTGGGCTACATGTCTCCATTCCCCTTGGAGTTGGTGTGGCCTTTGCATTCTGCCACAGGATGTGAAGAGAAGTGATGAGTGCAACCTTCAGGCTGACCCCGGAAGGCCTCCCTGGCATGACTCCATGCTCTCATTCCAATGCAGAGGGCCTGGAGCCCTGGAGAAGAGCAGAGCCACAAGGGGGAAGGAGCCCGGGTCCCTGATTGACTATGTGGAAGGGTATCTGTCAATCAGGAACACTCCATTGGACTTTACTTGAATGAGAAAGAGATTTTCATCTGAAAAGTTACTAAGATTGGGGGGGTTCACCTGTGATAACTAAGTAACTTGGGCCAAGTTGGTTCAATGGCACGAAGGCTCCTTTCTCCTGTGGTGACTGGACACTGAATCTCCTATGGCTACTACACAGCTGCTCCCGGGAGATCAGGGGGTCAATCACTTACTTAAAGAAGCCAAATATTCCCAGCCGATACTGGATAGTCACAACCAGAACGTCCTCGAAGGCAGCCAGGGCAGACCCGTCGAAGATGGAGGCTGAGCCAGTCTCGAAGGCGCCCCCGGGAAACCACACCATGACCTAAAAGGGAGGAGAAAATGCTCCAGTCGGCCCTTGGGGCACCCACACCCCCTCCCCAAGCAAGAAATTCTTTCTTTAGAGAAATATAAATCACTTTCCTGTCTAAACAGCATCAGAAGTTTTGTGTTTTGAAGATGGTCCAGGTTAAGCATGTAGGTTCTGTAACCTGAATACCTGTGTTTGATTCCCAGCTCTGCCACTGACTGGCTGCGTGACCCTGGGCAGATTACTTAACCCCTCTGGAGCTAGTTTTTCCCATCTGTAAGACGTGAAGAATGAAGATATCTCACTTACGAGGTTATCATGAGGTTTAAAAAGATTCTGCATCTAAAGCTCATGGGCAATATCGGCACATTTCAAGCGTTCAAGAAGTGTTAACAGAATATCATGAGACTTGTGACTCACAGGAAGATGGAAGTCACTGGCAGCCATGTATGAGAACTGAAGTTGCTTAGGATGTTTTAATCTAAGGCTTTTTTCCCCTACCTACAGAGAGAAAGGGAGGTGAGAAGAGGAAAAAAAGGAAGAGATGTGTAGATGTAGATATTTTAATATATTGATTAGAACAATTGGTTAATTAGGGTCTTATATTGGGAAGTGGCAGGAAAAGAGAAGAAAACCACTGAGGGAGGGGCCTCCCCGGTGGCGCAGCGGTTGAGCGCTGAGTTGCGAAGCTGCCCGCAGCCTCTGCAAGCGCAGGTTCGATCCCCGGCTTCTCCCCGGCCACTGGAGGAGGGGCCACTGGAGGAGGGTCCCACATGGCGCACAGACTTCTCCTGCCACCTGCTGCTCCCCTCAGCAGTGTACTTCGGTCCTTCTGCCTGCTCTGCTCCCCGCTCTGGCTCTGGTGAATTCTCTCACCCTTCCGCGCTTCTGACTGTACCCAGTGCTTATATAAATTAAAAAAAAAAAAAGGAAAAGAAAAAAAGAGTAGAGGGAAAGTTAAAAAAAAAGAAAGAAAGAAAGAAAAGAAAACCACTGAGGGAAAGTAGGAGCTGACAAAAGCTTTGGCTTTGGCAGCAGGTTCTGTCACTTACTACAAGTGTGACAAGGAGCAGGACACTATGCCTTCCCCATGCTTCATCCTTTATGTCTGTAGAATGGGTCCAATAATCTTTACCCACTGGGTTATTGAGGGAGTTAAATGAAATAGCATGTTGTGTTGGGCAGGTAGTCAGTGCTCATAGATGCTGCTGATGTGATAAAATAAAGCCACTGTCCCATTGTAGTGTGTTTTAGTGTGACTAAAAACTCACTGGTGGGATATACTTTTTGCACTCACTTCTTTTTCACTCTCTTCTATAAGGATCTTCATTGCAAACAGGAAAACTGGAGGATGCAATATACTCTTTAAAAGGGGGATTTCTCAAACAATAATAAATCAAAGTCTTTTGTAACAGTGTTTTTTCTGAGTTTACAGGTCATCAAATGCTTCAGGAGAGACAAAACAAAATAAAAATCAAAGGGGAAGTCATCGCCAATAAGGAGGCAACAGGAAAAGAAGATCAGGTGAATCTGTCCTTATGACTTTTAAAAAGCTTATTGATGTGTCCAGTAATACATTTCCCTCATACAAAAAGGGACCAGGTCAGATTCCAGACACCCAGACAACACAACCTGCTACCTGGAGACCCCAACATGACGGGTAGCCTTACAGGGAGCTTGGAGTCAGAGTCTGCATGGGCAGGCACGTAGATGTTAAGGTACAGGCAGTCTTCTGACACTTCCAGTTTGGGGTAATGCACCTTGAGTATGTTTTCATCTGTGATCAGCCAGTCTGCGTTCTGGAAGCACCTTGGAAAAGGGAAGGAGAGACCCCCAGAGGTGCTGTCAACCAACTTGCTTAGGAGTCAGTTCTTGTGACAGCCAGAGGGGAGGCCTGGACTTTCCCTGTGCCTGAGCCGAAGAGGTTTATGGGAGCTATTGGATCGGTGCAAAGTCTAATCATGCCTCATCCTCCCATGTAGGCACAAACTACCCCAAAAGGGAAGGAAAAGCACACTGTGCAGAATAATTATACCATTAACTCCAGACACTCACCTATGTCTACACCCACCACTGTAATCCAGACACATGCATCAAGACTCAAACTGGCTCAACAATTCCCCAAACTAGAGGGCTATACACTGACTAGCATATCAAGGGCTTTCCTCAGGAAGCTCCCTTTTTGATCTCCAGAGAAACACAATGACATTCACAGGAACCAACTGACAAAGGAGGGCAGGAAGGCTCCTGTGTCCAGGGTTTTGCTCAAGCCAGTCCCTCTGCCAAGACTATTATCACATATCTAGTTCCTCATGTTCTCCCCTTTCAGTACAATTCTCCCCTTTCAGGCTCCTCCAAGAAACCTTCTGATATTTTTTCATTTAGATCATCTTTGTAAACATCTATATATTTTATGTTATTTCCTAGAATGTCTCCTAGGCTTACACACCAGTGTCCTCAACTCATTGAGAAGCCAAAAGCCTGTATGCCATAGCCCCTAGCACCAACCCTGATACAAGGTTAAATCAGAAATCAAGGCTCCACAACACAGCTATCCTTAACTTCCCTTGAAGGTGAGGCGAGGTGGTTCTCTGTGTGTCCTGGTGCCCTTCTCCAATAATGGCTACACTTGTTATTCAGTCTATGTATTTTGTTGTCATTATTGTTTATGTCACCACCACAACTACCAGCCTACAGGTTCTTTGAGGGCAGCTGTGCCTAAACCATTCTGGTTTCCCCAGGGCCTAATAAAGAGCTAATTGTTGAGCTGGTTCCCATGGATATTCGTTGAATGAATAAATGAATGAATGAATGAACAGCTGAGTTTCAGCTAAGTGTCCTTGGCCTCAAGGCTACATAGTTTTTCTGTGACTTAGGGAGCTTCTTGGCACTAGAACATTCATTGTACCTGGGACTCCAACATCAAGAGCCAAAGGTGGCCAACCTGACTGAGGCTTCACAGAATTTGAGTCAGAAGATTCTTGGGAGGGCCTCCCTGGTGGTGCAGGCACTTGAGTGCCACGCTGTGGAGCTTTCCACAGCCTCTGCAGTGCGGGTTTGATTCCCGGCTGGCCAGCAAGAATCCCACATGGCAAAGCAGACCTCACCTGTCTCACCCACTGCTCCCCTCAGCGGTGTATTTCGTCATTCTGCCTGTTCAGTTCCCCGCTTTGGCTCTGGTGAATCCTCTCACCCTCCCACACATCTGGCCTGTACCCCAGTTCTTGTATAAAAATAAATAAATCTTAAAAAAAAAAGATTCTTGGGATTTCCAAGTCCCACCTCCGATCTAATACTCAAGGACCCTCCACATTTCATCTGGAACTATTACTAGTTGGCCACCGGAGCATGAAAATTCATAGTAAGTGGGCTCTGCTTAACTCCCTGCCTCCCATGTCACAGAAACACACTCATGTACTCATTCCACAAGCACTGGTAGATTTCCCACTATGGGCCAGACCCCACACTGGGCACAGTGTTGAGTGCTAGAGATAAAAGGCCACTAAGGGGGTTCTTAGCTCTAAAACCCTTCTTCCCCAGCATGACCATAGAGGCTAGACCAGGGTGAGAGGGTTAGAAGTCACACAGAAACACCTCTGCAATCCCTTCCAACCAAAAGACCCAATAAGGCTATTGCAGTGGTTCCCAAACCTGATTGGTCCTCAGAATCCCTAGAGAGTTGTCAGCTAATAGAATTTCCTGGGCCCAGCACAGGAATCTGTATCAGAAATGAAGCTTTCTAGCACTTCTGTAGTCCTCTCCTCCCCCTCCCCAATGCCCACCCAGCGTCTCCTTTCCCATTGGGCTGCAAGACCGTTATCCCCCTCAATGCTCTGCCCCTGCGCCCAGGTTGTAGACCACTCATGGGACTGAGCTCGGGCTTACAATTTAGGGTAGGAAGTGGCTTTTCGGGAGCCCTTCCAGGGTAACGCAGGCTTCGGTTTCTCAAATCGCAAGGATCCTAGAGGGGGTGCTGCATAGGGGATCCCAAGGAACACGTTCACAGGCATGATGCTTCCTAGCACAGTGACTTGCTTCCCCTGGACCCATCCCAGTCTGGTGTTCCTCCATGGGGCATCAGCAGCCAGCCCTGTGGGAACAAACAGGGAAGAAGGGGTGGAATCAGGAGCTGGTTGGCAGGTGGCAGGCAACAAGCCAAACTTGGAGCTCCCTCTAGCGGACGATTGTTCTTGACTTAGACAACGAATGGGAAATATCAGGATTCCTTTTCAATGAAGCATGTCTATCGCTTCCTTCAAGTTTGTCTTAGAAGTCACTTGTGCGAGAGCACCCATTGAGTTCCTCCTAAGAGCAAGGAGTAAGACACACAATTCCCCTGTTAATTTGGGAAACCATCTCCCTCTACAGCACTGAAGCTTTCCTTTACCATGAAACGGATATATGCCAGAGTCTAAGACCCTACGATCTATAAAATCATCTGGCCCAGAGTTTTCAAAAATTTTGGCATTTTCGTAACTCTCAGTTCAATTGTTGGCATGGCTGTGCATCTCCTGTATGGAAACTACTGACTTAAACCTTTTTCTTAAAATTAAATTTAAATAAGCTTTTAAAATTTTACTTAGGGCCTTCCCTGGTGGCGCAGCGGTTGAGTGCTGGGCTGCGAAGCTGCCCGCAGCCTCTGCAGCACCAGTTTGATCCCCGGCCGCCAGCGAGGGTCCCACATGGTGCGCAGACCTCTCCTGCCGTGCCCGCTGCTCCCCTCAGCAGTGTATTTTGTCAGTCTGGCTGTTCTGTTCCC